TGCGATTCCAGGCGCCCAACGGGGAGTTCCAGGTGCCTGTGAGGTTCGTGGCTCAGCGAGCGGAGCCGCGGCTGGACCGGAGGGCGGTGGAGTTCGGGGATCTGGTGCTGGGGACGCGGGTGAAGCGCAGTGTGGTCCTGAGGAACACGGGCAGTAAGGGATGTCGGTTCACTGTGAGACCCCTGGTACCGACGCCCACGGGGAGCGCGGAGGAAGAACGGACGGAGAGCCAGAGGCAGGTCACCTCTGCCGCCCCGGAGCACTCGGCAGTCGCTGTGGACAGGCCGGGAAGGGCGCCGCGAGGCGGAACCGCCGGGTCGGTCGGAGCCGTGGCAATCACCATCGCTCCGCGCGGAGGTACAGCAGGGTCGGTGGGCGCGGTACCGGTGTCCAGCTCTCCTGACAGAGCGCCGGTGGCTTCCACGTCCCCCACCTCCTCCCCCGCTCCCGCGACTAACGACTCACCCGCCCCCGCGACCACCGCCTCGCCGGCTCCGGCCTCTGGCTCTGCCGGAAACTCTGGTGCGTCATCATCAGCTGGTCCCGCCGCGTCCACCACCTCCCCAGAACCAGCAGTCACCACCAGCACCGAACAACAACCCACCTCCGCTAAAACGGCCACCGACATCGTCTCGTCGATCCTGGACCAGCTGTTCGACCGACTACCCATCATCGACTTCGATGGCGGACTGGGGGTGTGCGGCAGCGGCGAGGGCGAGCTGCCGGCCGGCGGCAGAGCGCGACTCCACCTGGGCTGCGTGGCCGACCTGGAGGGCGCCTGGAGACAGCAGTTTGTCGTCGAGTTTGACGATCCCAACTGTGAACCGGTGAGAATGAGTGGTGGGTTGGAGTCAGTGGGCGGGTTAGGGACGTGGGAATCGAATTCGAGGCTCGATAGTGATTCTGATTTTTATTGAGGCATTATTGACCATTTCGGGGTGACAGCTATGATACAGAATATACCATACATTGGCTGCAGCCATGGGTACACACGGAAACGACTCTTTCTATAGGGAAAATATTTGTATCATTTCCTCATCCTCGTATAATGTACATGTGCGTTTTTTTGTGAAGCGTAGCTAGGTTAAAGTTTGATAAGCACTAATAAGCATCGACCCGTCCTATCTTCAGTCCCATACCTTTCCGGCTATCCTCACTCCTGTCTCCTCATCCTCAGTTCACGCTGACGGCGTCCTACTCCGGTCACGAGTTTCCCATCTCCGTGCGTAACCCGCACCTGTCGCTGGACATTTGTCTGTGCGGGCTCACCTACTGGGACACGTTCGAGATCGTCAACACCGGTAAAGTGGCCAGGTGTGTGTCATTTTGTGGCCGTGACCTGCGTGAACGTACTTGCCTCCCATGAGGATGGGGATGTCAGCCCTTATATAGCGACGCCGAGAAGAGAGATGGCGTTAAATGTGCGGAGTGGAATGATGCGATGCATTATTCGCTGCTTTTTGTGTAGACGTATCCATCGCATTCTCGTACTTAACAGTGTTGTTCTTGAATAACCAATCCTGTAGGCTGTGCCTGGACAAGTTGGAATCATCTTATCATTGCCACTTTGATTTCAGCCGTGTGCGAACTGTTGTGCCCGATGATATGAAGCCGTTCGTGGACATCCAAGGCTCCCCGGCGTTGGTTCAGGCGGACAACTCGTTCAAGGTCAAGATCTTCTTCAAACCAAAGTAAGTGCTCCTGGTTCGTAGTTAGACTAGCAGCAGCTGCTCGGTACGATACGCACTTTCAAAATTCACTTATGAAAAAAAAACACGTGAACTAACTTGACTATCCACATGACGGCTATTTTCAACGACTTATAATCAAATACGAGGTGTGGCTAAAAAGAAACCGGACTGTTCGTGCTGGCCATAAAGTAGAGGGCCCGAAGACTAGCGAGACACTTGACATTAATCTTTATCATATTGTGGTGATGTGTGCCAAACGGCATCTCGATATCGCTATTATTCTCCTTTCCACAGCTCTTTGTTTTATCGATGTTCGACGGCCTTGTCACCGCCAAGCTTCTACAATGAGCTTCGAAAAAAGAAGGAACATCACGTTCCTTGCCAGACCCAACAGAGACGCTGTATCTGTTCAAGGCCTTCATGTTATGTTAGGTCATATGTCACATGCAAGTGTTTGAATGGCATACGAGGTTCAGCACTGGTCGTGAGGATGTCGGTGATGACCCAAGGTCTGAAGGTCCATCAACGTTTGCGCGCATGTCGAAGTCGAGGGTGGAGACGACATTGATCGTCTTTTTCGATCATAGGGGATTCGTTCACCGCCAGTTCGTGCTGGAGGTGTACCACAGTCGACCAGCATTTCTACAAGGAAGACCCGGGACGCCTCATTTCACGAGTCAGGCGCACCAAGTGGAATTTCTGGGAGGCCAAGAACTGGGTGCTCCGTCATGACAACGCTCCCGCGCATTCTGCCATTAGCGTCAGCCAGTTCTTTGCCAAAAAAGCAGGTCGCTGTGCTCAAGCACCCTCTTATTTGTCAGACCTCCCTCCCTGTGACTTTTGGCTGTTCCTTTAAATGAAAAAGGTCGTCAAGGGAACCCATTTTGAATCGGTCGAGGACATCCAGACCAGAGTGACCAGCGTCAGCGTCATCAATTAAACAAAGAGCTGTGGAAAGGATAATAATAGTGATATCGAGCTGCCGTTTGGCACACATCACGACAATATGATAAATATTAATGTCAAGTGTCTCGCTAGTTTTCGGGTCCCCTACTTTATGGCCAGCACGAGCAGTCCGGTTTCTTTTTAGCCACACCTCGTATTCCTGCTTATAAAGCCACGCCACCTGCCCTATAATAATTCTCCGTCTGACCCCTACTCCCCTCTTTCAGACGTTCGCTGCTCAGCCCGCCACACCGGTTCTTCGACCCCGGCACACACATTCTCGACTTCCCTGTATCGTTTCACGTGGATGCCGGTTCGCTGGGCGCCTCTCTGGGCGGCGCGCGCGGCGCCCCGATCGTGGGCTCCGTCCAGGCGGCTGTCTCCAGTAACCACGTGTGGCTGAAGCCGGAGAGAGTCGAGTTTGGGAGGGTGACACTGCTGGAGTCGGCGTGCCGGAGAGTGCAGCTGACTAATGGTGGTCTGACGGTGCAGCAGTGCCACTTCACCGGACTGCCGGATGTGAGGACCGCGGGCGAGAACGCTATCGGGGCAGGGTGGTGGGAGTGAGATCCTAGACTCTGTTGAATATGGGATCGGAAGGCTGTGTGTAGGTGATAACTGAAACCAGAATTTAAAACATGAAAATCTGTATTGCTATTTTTCGTGACTCTTCATCGTAGGCTGTTCAATTCAATGTTTATGTAATGGTATGACGTTTTTTTGTTAAAATATTCACATCGCTCCACCAGCTATCTGCTGAACTACTTGCCGAGCATGATATCACTGCGCTTGTCTCACCAGTCCGTCTCCATGACCGCCTATCCTGACCCACACGCCCACTTACCTCCACAGAGTGTGACCGTTCAGCCGGGTAACGGCGGCGCGGTGCTGCTGCCGGGGGAGACGGTGCCTCTGGACGTCATCTTCTCGCCGTCCGTGTCCGGCCAGCACCAGTTCTCACTGGTCGTGGAGACGCTGGATGGCGGCAGGTAGGGAGCGGGGAACGGAAAAAGGAGATTGAAATTCATCCGTTATCACCGATGCCACATGGAAGTAGAGGTTAACTGGATTAGATCTTCTGGGCTGGTAGGAGGGACTTGCTGACACACAGGCACAGACATGACAGCTTATACCAGGGGCGATTCGCCGTTTCCCACGTCTGGGGCGCTTCGGCTGTTGGACCCTTTACGAATAGTTTACGAACCTCGTATCTCCCTCTCTTTACAGTGCCAATCACCTGTGATGTCCTGGACACCACTCCACCTCTTTAACTCCGGTCTCTAACCCCCGAATTCCTCTCCAGAGCTACCGTCACCTGCCACGGCCTGGCCACTACCCCGCCCCTTTCTTTGAGCGCTACCAGTATCAAACTGAGCGGTGTACCCGTGCAGGGAGAGAAGAAGGCGGCCGTTTACGTGCAGTGTCCTAAGGTGCGTCTTTACCGCGGCGTCCTGTATCGCTAACAGGTTTCCGTCGACCTTTTGCTGCAGTTGCAAGGCTGCTAGTGAAATATATTAAATATTTAATCGAAATAACATGCACAGTACGCTGAAACTGTTTTAAACAGCTTTTATGCTCAATGTTTGAGTTTTTATTGTGATTATTTTGACTTAACTCATTAGAATACTCATTAACACCTTGGCAAAACATTTTGCTTTAGGCACCAACTTCAGCGCGTCTGTCCTTCTCCTCCAGGTACCGCTGGCCGAGGAGAAGTTTTTCGCCATGGGCGGCAGTTTCGAGTTTCAGCCGCCAGATGGCATCCCGGTGGCCATACACCCCATGGTGGGGTTCGTACCCTATAAACAGGTCAGTCGTGGTCTGGTTACCGTATCTGGGTGGGACAATGGTTTTGACTTTAGTGAACGCTCGCGAAATTTGAGGGAATTCGAGTTGACGTAGTTGAGTCGTTTGGAGCAGAGTAGAAGTGTCCAAATTGTGCCGATCTGGACACACACACACCCGGCTAGCTGCTAGATTTAATATGTTTCAGACCTCCTCCATCCGTTCCGTCGTTTCCATCCTCAGAATAGTCAAATCCTTCTCCTCCACGTCCCAATCCCCTGTTCCGGGCTGGACGGGCAACTTTATCCCATGCGGGAAGCTCCCATAGGAGCAGGCCCGTAGCCGGGTGAAGTGACTTTAAGGGTCTGCGTGGCCTGTCTACTGCACGGGCTCAGCCCCGACGACTCACCAGGGTGCCCGCTCAGACCAATGTCTCCCTTATTCTTATCATCCTTCGGGCTCTACAATGGTCTCGTTAGATCGAAACTGCCTAACTCAACAAAACAAACAAGCAAACAACTTTAGTCCTCCAATGTGTTACCGAGCTGGCAACACGGCTGATGTGCTGAAAACGCGATCATGATTCACTGTGATATATTGCATAACGCATACCTATGTACAGTGCATACTGCACAGTACATGGTACAGGCATTTCAAGATTGGCAAAAACCGTGTTATTGCTTCAACATATGCATACTGACTGTTTACGCGTTATTGTATAGCTGATACATGTAATAGTCGAGTTTTCAAAACAGCCTCACGACTAACTACGATCCCGGTGAACACTATCCGAATGTATAGAAGCTGATCGGGCCGGCTGACGGACCCCGCCGCCGCGGTGTCAGCGGCCGGCGTCTTCTGCCCCCCGCGGAGGGGGCGGGGGACTGGGTGGGGGTGGGGGTGGGGCCGAACCCTGCCACCCGCGCGGCCGGCTGGGGCGTACAGCGGCCGCCGGGACGGCACGCTCGCAGCTCCTCGTCGTAAGTCTCGCCCTCCTGACAGCTGAACAGTTCCGGCTGCCCGCCGCTGCAGAGGTAGAAGTGCTCGCAGTCGGACGCCGCGTGCTTCCCGTCGGATGGACACACAAAGATATCACTGGCGTCGTAGGCGGGAGTTGTGGGCGGCACTGGTGTTGTCGGCAGACCGGACTCGCCGATACCCAACATTCCAGCCTTGAGAGCACGGATCATAGGGAACGGCTCACCGGTACAGAACCCGCGGAAGTCGTCCAGAGAGACCGTCCAGACGGCGACTCCGCCCAGACCCGCCTCCCGAGCCATGCGAGCCTTCATCATAAGTGACGTCTCGTCGTCGAAGGCAACCGTCTGGTCCTCACCGGCGGCATACGGTCCCACATCCTGAGGGAACGGCCGCGCCGCCGTCCAGCCCCTCCGACCCGTCTTGTCACAGATCTCGTACGTAGCCAGAGATCCTTTGGCACGAGTGATGGGTCCGGCAGCACCGGGTCCAGACGAGCTAGCGTACAGACCGGCGAGCCGGGGATCCTCCAGGGTGAAACTCATTCCGAATGTAGGCACGGCGAGGTTTAGCTTTGCCATGTCTGCGCCCATCTGTTTGAGCGTCTCGAGGGTGGTCAGGATATCGCGTCCGGCGGCGTCGGGAGGTGCTCCGGGCGGGGTCCGCAGCGGCGCGTGATGAGAGGTGACGCTCCTCTCCGTCACCTGGTATCGGTAACCCAGAACGTTGGCGTAGTCCACCGCAGCCGTCACCCGCTTCATGTCAAAGTGCTCCCGCAGCTCGTCTGGATGTGGAGTCAGCTCGACGGCCAGCAGCAGCCGCCGGCGTCCCGTGGAGGCCGTGTCGCGGTCAAACGCCGCCCGTAGTGCCTCCAGCAGACCGGCGTGGTCCTCAGGCGCGTGCGGCGGCTTCCAGTCCACATCCAGTCCGTCGAAATCGTGCTCTCGGAGGAATTCCACCGCCGCCTCTGCGAGCTGTTTGCGGCTCTCGGCGGTCGCGGCGGCGGCGCGGAGCGAATCCTGCTGCTGTCCGCTGCCGCCGATCATCGGCAGCACCTTTAGATCGGGGTTGTGCTTGCGGAGCTCCACTGTGCTCCTGTAGCCGCCGGTGACAATATCAGCGAACACGTCCAGCGGTCCGACCCGCAGTGTCTCGGCGTGCACCCCGGCTCCCACATAGTGGATGTGGGTGCAGAGGTGCGGTGGGATATTGGTGGGCAGGAATCGACCCAGCGGGGGACGGTACCGTGCCCAGTTCTCGTAGAAACATACCACCCGTGGGGTGGACTGGCCGGTGGAGGGAGGTGGCTGAGCTGTGAGCAGCAGCAGCAGCAGTGAACACGGGCGGAACTGAAACCATGAGCGTGTTGGTTAGAGGCATATAGGTAGGTATATCAGCAGTCCAACATTATGCGTTCTTTGACCTTGACGATCGGCAAATCTGCCATTCAGCTATCAGCTCTCATTGCTCGGATTGCGTGTATCCAGCGTATTTGGCGTCTTTCTTGTCACCCGCCTGCTGATTGTGGTGCATTGTTACGGGGCAGCGCTTGAGAGGAAAATAAGGGACTGGATTGCGTCGAGGGACTGGATAACCATTCTTATGACAGCCTCAAATTAAGGTAGGGATTTTCTTACAAGGTCTCAGTTTCCGCCTAATTATTTTTTCAGCGAATCGTTGTAACTGTGCCTGCAATGCTTAGACTACTTAAACTGTTCGATCTCTTCACCGTCACCTTCAGGCTTCAAAACCTGTATAGTGAGCAGGTTGCATCAGTCAGGAGGCACCGCATGCATAAACAATCGATTCCCAGTAAAGAAAAATGCAAGCGCACGGCCGTCTACCTGTATCCAATGTTTCTCTCCTGCCCACTCACCTTCATATCAACTCGTAGCACTCTCGTCACCTCTCCCAGCGCGCTCCTCTCAGTGCCCGGGCGGAGAAGTGGCAGTGACCACCGTCCCAGCGCACCCTATAAACTGCCCTCCCGCCGCCACTCCGCCGACTACTCGCCCAGTAGCGCTGTGCCCCGCGCCGGTCTGAGCCCCGCACGGCTCCCACAGATGCGGAGATGGCGCGAAACCGGTTTGGCGCCACTATTCCGTCGGTGCTGGGACAGACGTGCTGCCAAAAGTCGGCCGGTGTGGAGAGGTGGAGCCCGGCTGATGTGTGGGCTTACCGGCTGCCCCGGGGAAAGTTTGTGGGGCTCGGGATGATTTCTTCTGGTTCGAAGAAGCTGGTGGTCGGTTTTTGGAATCCCCGTGATGAACAAGGCGCTCAGAAGAAGTCCCGGGTGACTGAGATCACCCAGTTCTCAGACTCGGTGATAATGTCTTGTGCAAGCTGTGAGGCACCATTTCATGTCCGTAGAATTTTAGCGATTTGATATACCACGGCACTGGGAAGTTTGTTTTTGGACACACATCCAAGGCTTCACTGCTAGACATTAGCAAAAGACACGCTATGTGGTAACAGAAAATCCGAAAACCACGATATTTTCCGCAAAATAATATTTCCCATGCTTATTACTATCCTCTTTTTCACGTCACTGACCGGTGTATTTGCTGGCGGGCTTCCCACGGTTGCGGGCCTACCCGCTCCGACTCTAGCGTCGGTATTCACCTCCCGTCCCCGTGCGTTTCCTCAGAGTCGCCGTGTAGAGGTGACGGTGTCCCCCAGCCTGGATCCAACCGAGGTCCGGATCACCGCCTCGCTCCTCCGCTACGAACAGCTGGAGATGGAGCGGGCCGCCGAGCCGGAGGTGTCCGCCAAAGGTGACAAGGTGCGTCTGAAGCGGCACGGCACGGAACATCAATCTGAGAACGTCTCATAACGATATGCTATGAGCAATATGCGATATGCGAAACGGCTTTTGATCATAAGCTCCGTAGCGTGTAAGTTTTCTAGTGTAACGCTTATGCGATTCGGATGGTTTGTTGCTTTAAAAGCAACGGTAGCTCAATTGCCATGTTAGATCAGACTCAGTTTTCTCTTCTTTTTTTCCCAAGTAGCCTTTGCGATGACATACAACACGAATGATGACAGACGTAAAAGCACACAGTCAGCTGTCCACTGTTAGGTTTTATATGTGCATGTTTTCTTTTATGCTTCACTATACGCTGCTTGCACGTCTTATGTTCTACACAGAACAAGAAGAAGGGTCGTAAGAAGTCGGCAGAGAGGCCGCAGATGATCCTGTGTCCGGAGCCCTCCACCATCCACCCGGGCAGCGATCTGTACAGGGAGGCGCAGCAGGTGCTGTTGAGGACCTACGAGCCGACCACGTACCGTTACGTGATCCCCTGCTGCGTGAGGCACGGGGACACTGGTCAGGAGAGTAGCGGGTGAGAGAGGAACGGGAATAACAGAGATGGAGGGGTAGGAACTGAAGGAATGAAATAACTTCTCAGTGTTCAATTTTGATAGCTTGAAGTCACGCTAGCCGGTGGCGATTCGATTAGCGGAGTTTCACTTGTGTAGTAAATCTTGGCGCGTAGATGATCGGTTATTTCTGAACATGCATCAACATTTGGCTGGTCCCCGGCCCAAACTCAGTCTCTGTCCTAGTCTGCACGCGGCTCGGACGCCCGTCTTCGTATTTCAGGCCATGTGACCCTCTGTATCTCGAAATTGTCTGCATCATGACTGCGTTTAACACCCCGTCTCTCTCCTTACAGCCCGTGTGACGTGCTGTATTTGGAGATAGTCTGCACCACGGCGGCGCCCCACCTGGTACCCGCCTCGTCCCTGTGCCTCGACTTTGGTCCGCGCGTTCTGCGCGCCCCCGCCTACCTGGAAGTGGCGCTGGAGGGCGCTGCTGAGGGGCCGCTGCGGCCGCGCGCCTCGGCTCTGGACCCGCACGGTCCGTTCAGACTGGTGGTACCGCTGAGGGAGGTGCCGCCCGGAGAGAGGAGAGTGGCGCGCGTCTGCTACACGCCGGAGAGACTCAGTCAGGTAAGGACACCTCACACCAATACCAGAGAGACTCAGACAGGTAAGGACACCCCACACCACTACCAGAGGGACTCAGTCAGGTAAGGACACCTCACACCACTACCAGAGGGACTCAGTCAGGTAAGGTCGACACCTCACACCAATACCAGAGGGACTCAGTCAGGTAAGGACACCCCACACCACTACCAGAGGGACTCAGTCAGGTAAGGACACCTCACACCAATACCAGAGAGACTCAGACAGGTAAGGACACCCCACACCACTACCAGAGGGACTCAGTCAGGTAAGGACACCTCACACCACTACCAGAGGGACTCAGTCAGGTAAGGTCGACACCTCACACCAATACCAGAGGGACTCAGTCAGGTAAGGACACCCCACACCACTACCAGAGGGACTCAGTCAGGTAAGGACACCTCACACCAATACCAGAGGGACTCAGTCAGGTAAGGACACCCCACACCACTACCAGAGGGACTCAGTCAGGTAAGGACACCCCACACCACTACCAGAGGGACTCAGTCAGGTAAGGACACCCCACACCACTACCAGAGGGACTCAGTCAGGTAAGGACACCCCACACCAATACCAGAGGGACTCAGTCAGGTAAGGTCGACACCTCACACCAATACCAGAGAGACTCAGTCAGGTAAGGACACCCCACACCACTACCAGAGGGACTCAGACAGGTGAGACAGGAACTGTGAGGAGGATGGCGCGCGTCTGCTACACCCCAGAGGGACTCAGTCAGGTGAGGACACCAGAGAGGTCAGGTGGGGTCACCAGAGGGAGGGCCACTAACCAGTCAGGTAAGACAGGAACTGTGAGGAGGGTGGAGCGCGTCTGTTACATGGCCGAGAGACTCAGTCAGGTAAGATGGGGACGGAGAGGATAGGGTTCAGTCAGGGGGCGAAGGGGACTGTGACATGAATGGAAATGGCAGTGCTTCACTTTAAATCACATTCTCTTCCTTGTCTAGTGATAGTAACTCTAATCTCTTTCTAAATGACTGATGAATGAATAAGTTCTGATGTTGCGTATGCAAAAATAGTGCGTTGACTGACGAGACTAACGGTTATCTTTGTGGTAGGAGCTGGAGTTTTGGAACATAACCGGAGGGAACACCAATCTGCGCTATGCTCTCTACGGCCGTGGAGTGAAACAAGAGTTCTCATTCACGCCGGAAGATGGTATCATCAACATGGGAAAGGCCAAGCTCGGCAAAGCGAGCAAGAAGCAGATCACGGTAAGCTGTTACCCTGTCATCACCATACTGCTGTTTAGGTATGTACCGTGTGGGCTATTCGACAAATAAGGAATAAATCAAACTCGTTGCTTCTAGTTTTCAATTCTGCTAAATTTGTTTCGGTGTCAAACCCTTCTCACCACAGCGGCAAAAGACATGGCTTCGTCTGTTACGATTTGTTAAATGTCCATTTCTTATCCAAATCCCTCTTTTCTTTTTATAAATGGTGCTGCTTGATTATTGCGGTCCCGGTTGCAAACTATCACGGTGCCTGCGCGGTTTGTTATGTCAGGATGCTTGCTTTCATAATGCCTGAAGTTCTATGAAAGTTACGTAAGTGGCGTGAACAGCTAATTACCATGCTTTCTGTGTGAAGGTGCAAGGCATAACTTTGGAGAGTGGCTGGTGGTTTACGAAGAAGGGTTTGAACGGCTGCAGCCTGGTCAAACATTTAAATGCCTACATGATGGTGAATTAAATCGACAAATTTCGCCGAAGCGGTTTGGGAATCGAATGTCGACTAAATTGTCACAGTCTGGCCTGCATTTGTGAACCTTCAGATAGCATCAGCGATACTACACCTTTTTGCGTTAGCCTTTGACCATTGGGCAAAACATTTGTACACATTCGCCATATAGGTGGCGCTACAAATGGTCGGTTGGTCACAAAGAATCACCATTGTGCAAAACTATTCGGCGATCTTCCCCTATAACTCGACATTGGACAAATGGTTCAACATTGTGCAAAACAAATCGTCAATGGTCGAAACTATTCGTCATATGCCGAGCGAGCTCGCTCAATGCCGAATTCTGACGAAGTGTTAAACTGTTTTGCGGATCGCTCATTTCAGTGTTCAATCTGTTTTGCTGAATGGCTTAAATGAAACACACCACGCCGGAATAGTTGTGCTCAATGCCGATTGTCGAAATGGCTCCTCAAACAGTTATGACGAATGGTTGAATTCAAATGCAAAAAGGTGTATTTCCACTTTCTCCTGAAGCCTACTTTGATTTACCGAGGTTCGTCCTTGTACCGTTTACCGATAGTACCGACAATGGTAGGATATTTGCGCCGCATCTCTCGACATTTTGGTCCGCGACGTCACACACGTGGACTGTCCAGTGTCCAGTAGGAACGAGTAGGGATAGAATCCAGCCGGCTGACGAGACAGACGGGACGGATTAGTCCGTCTGTTGGCGGATTAGGCAGCCGGGAGCCGAGCTCCCTTCGGTCGTACTGTATGTGACTGGTTTGGCGGGCGTACTCCCGGCGTAGTTTGCCGAATCAGAAGCCTAACATTGAGAGGGAGCCAGAGTGAAATTTTGATCCTCAGCCAATGCTGAAGGGTAAGGTGAGAGAAAGATTTTATTGGACTCTTTTCAGAAAGGAATTTCAAATGTATTGATGCATTATTCATTTTGCACTATCCAGTGTGCACCTCCTGAGGACAGCATAGCAATTTCAAGTCCTTATTATTTGTTTGGCTGTCTTTTTTTTCTGAACAGCAATGAAGCAAGTAAGGTTTATATAGCTATAGCATTGATCCAGCTGTGTTTTTTCTTGCAAAAACAGGTTTTTAAAATTGCGGGTTTTTTTGCGGGTTCGGCTCAGCCAAAATCAGCTTGCGGGTAGTTGTGGTTGGGCAAGGGGTAGCTGCGGGGCGGGGCGGGTAATGAAATTGCAAATTTGGTGCATCTCTATTGCCGATATAGAAACGATACGGAGAATGGGAATAGCGCGTGGGTGAAAGCCGGGTGTGTAGTCGCTATTGCTGTCGACAATGGGCTGTTCAACTATGGTAGCTGTCAGCTGCCAGTCTTGTTGAGGTGATGTATCTTGAACTCCGATGCGCTTACGCCGCTCAGCATGCATTCATTGTTTTCACTGGATGATTTTTTCTTCGTTGGCAATGTATTATGAAGCCTACCAGAAGTCCCCAGCGCAGCGTAATCTGAATGTCAAAGCCACAGAGCTGTCTGGCCTCGTCACTCGACACATTTTTTTACAGTGGCCTTATCCGATGATAGAGCGCCAGTGTCATGAAGATGTTGGAAAGCTAGTACGTGGTTTGGCACTTGGCAGAATACCGTGTACGATCATTTTGTATCCTTGGGAGAGCATTTTTTTTTTCAAATCGATGTAACTTGCAATGTGTTTTACCTGGAATAGGCTTCGTCGTGGTCATTATCTTGTGTGCGATACTGTGTTGATATTGTTATTTTTTACTGTCGCCTGATTGTTTGCTTTTCTCGTAAACTTCGTCGTTGGAATTGCTGCCTGAGGTACTTCCTGTAAATAGCGTCGACGCCATGTCCGTCTTGACGGAACGGCTGTTCCGGCCTTTGACGGCTATATGTTCCTTCACGGCCAGGCCCGCGGAACCCTTCGTGGCTTGCATCGCCCCAGTAATCCCGCTTCCCGAGGAGTGTTTATGATCAGTTCTCAGAGGCTCTTTGGATTCTAGCTTAAATCTGTCCGCTGTCGTGTTCTGTGACACCTATTGTTGTTTATTTATGTTCGTTCTGATCCAGAACACCGAGTTTAGCTTGGTTTGCACTCAAGTCGTGATTGAAAGTGGCCGGATTTGTGTGTCTGTTGTTCATGATCAGGAGAGTCCAGTAGTTAACACTAGCTTTGGCTAGCTTAATCCACATCAAGTGATAGGCTGAGGTAGTATAACAGATGGACGGTCGATGGCTTTGGACCGTGGGCATTCACTTTCGGACTCCTTGTCTCTTATTGTGGCCTCGCCTCTCATACCAATCATCTTCACGATTGCCTCTAACTTTGTTTCTTCGCTTTTTTGCCTTTCGCCTTTGGCGCTCTGTCGTAGTCCAACCCCGCACCCGTGTACCGTTTCAGGTGACGAACGAGTGCGACGCGCCGCTCGAGTTCGCCGTCGAGCTGGTGCCGGCGCCGCCGCTGCTGCCCGCTGACCCGGAGGTCAAGTCACGCGGCTCCGGCTCGGCGCGAGGGGACCGGCGCAGCGGGCGGCGCGAGCCAGAGCCGCAGCCGGCGCCGGCGGCCGCGTGGGCGGTGTCGGCGCCGCGGCTGGAGGTCGGCCCCTACCGGAGCGGCACGCTGGAGGTGCTGCTGACTCCGACAGAGGAGGCGCTCTATGAGGCACAGCTTGTGCTGAGGCTGTTCAAAAGGCTGGATGAACTGGTGTTCACAGCGACTGGGAAAACGCCGGGATATAAGGCGCCCAAAGTGGATAAGAGCGCGAAAGAGAAGGATGGGAAAAAGAAGAGTGCGGAAAAGAGCGCGGGACATAGCGCGGAGAAGAGCGGTAAAGGAAAGAAGAAGAAGTAAAGAATACACGAAGCGGAAGAGAAATTTAAGCATGGAATCACGTGAAAGAAATCTAACAGTATGTTGCGTCTCATAGTCATTGGTCTGAAAATTGTCCTGTGTATATTATATTGTGAACGCAAATGCAGCGAATTTCTTTCATTTGTCCGAATTATGAAGCGGTAGCGGGCACGACTCTGAACTTCAACTTGATGCATTTCTCGTCTCATTTCTCAAGGTTTTTAGCAATTTCTTCTATTTCTAAAAATTGGCAAGGGCACCGATAACCGATTTCTTGAGACAACATTGAAGCGGGAACACTATGGGACTTAATTTTTCCGCGCCTCTCATCTCTTGGAGTACAAACCACAACGGTCACTGCCAATCCGATTAATGCGCGGGAGCTCCATGGCCTGAAAAAAATGAGCCCCAAAGACTTCGGACTTGACCTACTGACGTTGACCTACTTCACAATCCGGTAAATCTTTAGGATTTTGAGGGCAAACAATGTGCAATCCTAATGCTTTGCTTGCGTGAGGCGTAAGTTCCGAGCCCAGTAGCCACGTAACGAGTGTGAAGACCTTCGTGGTAGCTTATTTGTGATCTTGAAATATGAAAACATTGGTGATGCCTGCTTGTAAATGTTTAGAATGTGTATACCATAAATTAGAACCAAGGAAATACCGACATGACCTAAAAGGCTACTTATGCTGGGTTTGGAGGACTATGGTATTTTGGAGAAGACAGTCGAGATCCCATTCCCTACTGCATTTTGCAGCTGTTGCTAAGTCGAATCAAAGCATCGCACCGTTCTAGAGAGCAGGCTCGTTGGCAGTGAACGTATGTAGAAGATCCCGTTTAAATAGCAAATGACACAACTTCTCTAGACGACTCTAACGGCAGGGATCATCGGAGAAGCATGAGATAATTTAGAACAAGGCCGCAATTAAGAATACCTACATATTTGTCGTTGACTCGGAAGTTGACGTTCTGAAAGCGATCTCGTTGCATATTTTACATATTTTAGGGACTCGTTTGACAATTAATCCGACTATTGAAAGACGGAACCAACACGAATCCCATGCTAATTACAAGTTGTCCCTAAAATCGGTAAAATTGTTAAGGTGGAAATCGGTCACTCTAAATTTGTGTTGATGTGGGTCACCAAGTCTCGCTCATTGCGCGGTTTTGTCCGTTTCATCTTCCTTGCGTCTGGGTCTCAAGTTATCTCGCTTAGTGCGGTGCGTCGAACTTATTTCTTTGTCAGTATTGTTTTATTGTGAGACAAGATTACAATTTGTCACGAAAAACCCAGACGGGTTTTGGGACGATGATCAATGATCATTGATCACCTTTTCCCTGGCTGAAGGTTAGGTGACGTAAGAAGATGCCCGTATCGAGCCCGTCATCTCGCTAATGAACCCTCTCGTGACGACCGCAATCCCGCTCATTGCCGTCCCATTACCTACGTACCGTTAGTGTATGTCAGGGCTACACCATCCCGGTGTGTTTTCCCAACGATTTCTGTTTGCGTGCATCATCTGAGCGGTTGGCGTTTGTCCGGTCATGGATGGCTGAATTTTATTGACGCAGTACCTGCGTGGAAAATCGACCCTACTGATCGCTCCTTGGAAGTGGACCTCAGTGGGCGATCACTGGTGTAACCGGTCATCAGCCGGTCTCAGGTGTGGCCTTGACCTATCGGTCATTGATGGGTCATCGATCGACTGTGACCTTCTGGTCACTGACCGGTCACGGCTAGCTATCCAGTCCGCGTTCAGCCACAACCACTGCCATCAACTGCCGGAAACTGCTTTGAAGCGCCTTCAACCAGATTCACCTTCCTTGGAACACGATTAGCTAACCCACTTCCAACCAGTCCTCACGAGTCTAAAATCGCCTTCAACCAGCACCCACGCCTCCTACCGCCCACCGAAGCTGGAGCCGGACCCAGAGTCGCCAGAGAGTGACAGTCGCAGCTTGCGAAACCGGTCGGCGCTGCGGGTCGGCTCCAGAAGTCGGCTGCACCGTGCGGCGCACCTGATCGGCCGCCGCGCCCCGGTCTGGGTCGCCGGGAGGAGGCCGGTCGGACGGTCGGGCCAGACGGGAGTCAGTCGCGCACCGGTCGCCATAGTGAGAGGAGCGCCAGCTGCAGATATGGACACGACGGGGAGACACTATCTCAGAGCAGGTGAGAGAGATGAGATTGTGGAACGGTAGTGTTTGGGGTCAGTCTGATCTGCGTGCTTGATTTGTTGTGAACTTAATTTGGGTGTTTGTGTTGGTTCGTCATGTTGTACCGCCCTGTGATGTCAATGGGGAGGGTCCAAGCTGAGCTTCAGCTGTGAGCTGGAACCGGTCGGGTGTCTCGCTTCTATGTGGTTATTGTTGCTTCAACTGCTTTTGTTGGCGGTTCTGTGTTCATCCATGCCGCAATTGTGCACTTTCGTGAATTTCCCGAAAAAGTAATTAAAGGTCGTACTATCGTGTTTAATGGTTGTCTGCTCGAACCTTGGATGTGCAATCGGCTTCAGCAGCTTTGATAAAAGGAAGCCCAAATTTGGACGTAGCCATGCCTTCAGTCCGCCTTTTTAATTCATTGCCTAGTCTCTTGCGGCATGAACTACCACATTTTCAAATACGACATCGGCACATGGTCTCCATCGACAACGTCACACCACATGGCCATGTTCCATTTCGTCAGGAACCGGTGGTCCTTTCGGCACGATTGCTCAAATCCCGGCTGCTCCCCGGTCTGTGTAATATTTTGCAATGTGCGCCTAGCGCAATCCGACCTTCGCTGCGGGCGCCGCGGGGGGTGTGTGGCCGCCTGTCCTGCGGCCCGCCCGGTGTCGGGGTGCCCGTCTGTGACCCCGCCGGCGGCAAGTTGACCTCGGCCGACCCTCTCCCTCTGACAGCCGCGCTGCTGCTGCTGGCTGCGACCGCTGCGGGCCTCGTCATCGAGAAGGAGAGCCCGCTGCTCGATCTCAATGACCACCTCCTCAGGGTAAGAACGTGCTCACGGGCGTGCACGAATGGGTTCTGGAAACAAATGTGAGATTATTATAGAAATGCCATCATATATATAGAAATCCGGGTGTAGTTATCCCCACATTTCCAACCTCGCCTGTCCATTGAAATAAATTACGCTAATCACGTTTTCCTTTCTAAAATAAAGTTTTTTTTCTTACTTAAATCTAAGCTAGAAGTGCTTGTAATGCTTCGGGCTCGGGCCTATTATCACCCGTTAGTCTCGTTTTTGCGCGAGCCGTCTCCGATCAGCTGATGGCCTCTCCGTCTGACCGTGACCGTGACCCTGGCCCGCTTTTTAGTTGGCCCGGTGAGCGTGTTGTGTCGTCACGGTAGCCGGCTGCCGATGTTTTGCCGGTGACGATCTGGATGCTTCGATATAAATGTGTTAAGGGCCCAGTGTTACGATACATGAACTGGATTTGAGTGCTCCCGACCGCTGCACAAGTCCCTGCAAGCATAGGGTGTGGGCGGGAACACTGGCAGCATTATTTATCGATGGTGCCCGTCCCGGACCTTGAGACGCTACATTTCGTGTTGCACGCCGGTGTTTTCTTGATTCTGCTAATGTCCAGAGTGTCCGCCTCTCTTGTGGTTTTCGAATGTCGCTCTGGTCGCCATATATGTCAGCTGTCCCTTTGGTGATGGCTTACCGCTGAAAAATTAGCCTCTGAAGCCCACCGATAATAACGTTTACCACAACTATGTCCTTCTTGGGCTTTTGTCATTCGCTGCTGCACGGCCTAATATCTCCCTCAGTGCATTGGTTTGACGTATGTCGTCGGGATCCCCGCAAATTGCGATCCACTGAATCTAACCACCGCCGTTACGGCCAGGGCTGGTTTCGGCCAGGCCCAATCTACCGGCTGGATTTTTGACAGCTTTAGCTTCTGTCTCCCTGCCGTTCGGATGGCGCTGGACAGCCTTGGATTATAACTCCACCGTCGTAACGCCTGCTAATCTGATCTGAGTGGATAGTGCGGTGGTCGCCGCCGCACAGTGCCGTCGCTTTGGTGTGTGGCTAACCGCTGAGGTCACTGCCGCTGAGACCTGGGTCGGGAAGTCGTGACTTATGGCACTGAGGCTGAGCCGAACCGGTCTGAGCACTGCTCGGATCAGAGTGCGGTGACCTAGGCGTTAGTCCGACCTGCGTCTTACCGGACTCAACGCGGAAGTGTCTCGGTATGAGTCAGTGCAGTTCTACGAATCTGAGTGAGAAATCGTGTCCAGATAATCTGTTCATATCATCTGCATATGAAAGGACGTAAGATGTTCTAGAAGTTTGACGCCGCTGGTGCAGCTCCGATGCACAAAGGTATTTAGAAATGTCTAGCTTTCTTTCTCCCAAACATATTATGAACATCTGATCAGAACGGACTGGATTGCCCTTGGGACACACTGCAACTGAAAGGTCTCCGGGGCTCGATGACACCTCTCCCGCCTCTCCTGGCCATCTCGGCGGTCGGCCTTGGACGGACAGACAGCCGCCGGACGGAGCAGTAAATGTCGGTACCGGTTTGTCGTGCAGTTGACCGGGCCTGTGGCGACGCCGGTCACTGTCCTGAGCGCTGCCGGCGGCCGCGGCGGCCCTATCGACCCATCAGCCGCGGAGGTCACCTCCGAGCCGCCGCTGTCAGAAGCTGGAGAGCCAGCAGTGGGCGCCGCTACTCTGGATACGATCTCACGCGCTGCGCCTTAGAGCCGGGTCAGGTCGGCGCCGGCTCGTCACTGCGGTAATGAGGTGTATGTGCCGTAACGGCCATACGGGTACCGTTAGCTGCCAGCCGCTGCGCCGGCCGGTCTCTCTGCACTAGAGCTTTGGGTCGCCGTCTCACTACTCTGGAGCTATGGACCAGCCCCGGCCCGTAAATCTGCATAGGAGCTATGAGCCAGCCCCCGACCCGTAAATTTGCATATAGGAGCTTTGAACGCCAGTCTCTGTGGAGTGCCGAGCAACCGTTGCTGGCTCGCAGCTGCGCGCACCTTGTATTATAACTAGATTCAGATTCAGATTTATTCGGTGAAAGGTCCATATAGCCAGCCTGCAGCCTCCGGTCGCCTCCGGCTGGTGCTGCGCGCATCTGTAGGCTCTCGCGCAACGTCGAGGGCCGTCGCCGAATTTTGCATTGCGAGTTGCGTACTTCTGGAGTCCTGAGTATTTCACGAAGGGTTTCGTGACGCCTATTTCGTGACCTCGTGACTTGAGATAAATGCATGGGCGCGATTGATCCTCGATTGAAGAATAAGCATCTTACCAGCAAAAGCTATCCGCTGGGAAAGAGGAACATTCTTGAGAATAGCAGTGTGCGGTCAAAAACATATAATATATCGGGTCGCGGAGGTTAGCTGATAGGTTGATAGGACCTTGAAAAGGTACCCCCCCCCCCCCCCTGGAAGTAGATATTTTGGAGGATATGGTTTTGAATGCAACCACATATGTGCGATGCATGTGTGAACTATTATACATTTTTCAAAGCATAAGACAGGGGTGGTCAGACAGCATTCTTTTCCGGTGCTATGGGAAGCCATGGTGGCATGGTGCCATGATGTTTCCAAAGAGTCTTCCAAAGAGTTAAGCCGTACCGTTTACTAAGCAAAGTGCGCTTGTTTTCGGCGTTACGATCCATAACGAGCACGATGTAGTATGGTCCGATGGGCAGAACGCTGGCGACAGCCGCATATCGGTGGTACAAATCGTCAGTATCGCGGCACTGCAACGCTAGCTTTCCAGGCTGAAAATGCTTTGCGGTACCAATAACCCGGTTTACATAGGGTTTGTTGCAAGCTTATATCTCCGTCCGTGATGTTGCAAAAGATGCCAATGGTGCTTAACAATTTACAAAATGTTCCCCTCTAAATATTTGAAGACCACTGCATCGAAATTATCGCCAAATTAACGAGCTAGAGCCTCGTCAAATATGCTATGTAAACCGGGTTAATTAGGGCTCTTATGTAACAATTCCCTTGGTAGGTACGATGGCACGTGAATGCAGTGGAATGTAGACAACAGTCCTTTATATAGTCCCGAAAGGAACGTAGCTAGAGGGGTGTGCTTTAATAGAATATACACACCGCTCATTGCTCACGAGTCGTCATTATATACTCTTTATCAAACCTTGCATCATACCATCACAAACCTCACCGTCTGGTGGTTTTCCTGCGGCACCTGACCTGATCTGACCTGACCTTTCTCCCCTCAGGAGGTGCTCTCTGGCCAGCAGAACGAGGTGGTGTGCCCGGCGGCGCTGTTTAACGTGATTGCCGGCGCTCACCGCGCGGCCAACACGGAGATCCAGAGTCTGATTCAGAGGCAGCTGGGCACCGCCAACCCGGCCCAGCTCAGCCAGGCCATCGACCAAATGGTGAGTAGGCAGTGCGTGGGGTGGGGTGGGAGGGGCGCACTCTGAATCGCAGTGTGGTCGTGTCAGTGTAAAGGAGTTGAAGCCCGTTATAAACGTGCTATTTCGACACCTTTTTTTAAACCCCACATTTGTTCTCCGGTGAATTTCAGACAAGCTGGTTAGAGACCTTCAAAAAAGGTACAATCACTCGATTTTAGTCTCAAGTTTGTCTGTCTTGGCAGATAAAGCAATACCAGAACAGGCCTACGAACACACATATTTGATCAGGATCGGACGATTGGACACTTTTAAAAGGAGATCTTTCGTGCCTCCCGGAAATTCACGGGAGAGCAGATGTGGGGGTTTAAAAAAAGGTGTCGATTTGTGCTACAGCATTTTAAGGCATTTAATTATGCTATTAAAAACCGTCATGTCATTGCCTTTGTTCTTTGGTGCGATGACAGCTGTTCGGCTGCCTGAAACAATTTATGCGATTGATATGATCAAGTTATCATACGATGCAGTCTCATTGTCGACATTTTAGCAGAACGCAGATTTTCAGCAGATCGTAAATTCGTCTCCCTCACCCCTGTCCCTCCCCACAGGCTGCCGAGAAGTCCTCCGTGAAGAGTTTCTTCCGGGCGTACAGCATACCTCGCGTGCGCACCGAGTGCTCGAAGCCGCAGGTGACCTCTGTGTCCAAACAGCAGCTGTGCGCGCGGCTGCTGCAGCTGCTGTCCCCTCCCACCGGCCGGGAGCTGGACCTGGGCGCCGCCGAGGCGGTGCGGCAGATCAACTCTGACGTGTCGGCGGCCACGGACGGTCTGATCTCGGACCTGTTTACCCACCTGGACCCGGACTCGCGCCTGGTGCTGGCCGCTGCGCTGGCCTTCTCCAGCCCCTGGCTGCCCGAGCTCACCATCTCCACCAAGGAGCTGCCGTTCCGCCGGCCGGCCGGCGAGCAGGCCGTGCCCGCGGTGCTAGTCTCCGGCTCGATGCGGTTTCTGAACGCCAGCGACGACGGCCTGTACGGCGTGGCCGTGCCGTACAACGACAACGCGTTTCACATGGAGATGTTCTTCTTTGTGGCGGCGAACCGGAGTGAGGATGTCGTGAGCAAGCTGTCCCGGCGGCACTACGAGGCGCTGGCGGAGATATCGCCGCTCGAGACCCAGGTGCTTCTCACCTTCCCCAAGTTCTCCATCAAGTCCGTCAAGCACGACTACCGCGACGTGGCCCTGTCGCTCGGCCTGGGCCCGATGCTGGAGGGCGGCCTGGGGCCCAACGGTGCCGACAAGGTGGACCAGCTCGTGCACCGGGCCGTCATCGATGTCGACGAGAAGGGCACGCGAGCCGCCGGAGCGGCCGGTATCAGCATCATCCCGCGGGCGGGCTCTGACGAGAGCACGCCGCGCGCCGTGCTGCAGCTCGACCGGCCGTTCGTCGCCTCTGTGATGCACGTGGAGCTGGGCCTGCCCCTGTTCACGGCTCACGTGGTGGATCCGCTGGACGGAGCGCCGGCTACCCGCCGGAGTCCCGTCAGGTTCTGAGGAATGGCCCGATGGGTGGGGAGTGAGGCGGAGTGGAGGGGAGGGGGATTGGTAGAAATTGAACGCGGGTGGTAGATGCAATGATAGATGTTTTAAATGCACTAGTTTGGATCACTAGATGCGGCATCACATTGAACGCGAACGTACGCCGTGCGAGTAAAGCCCACGTAAAGAGTTCTTCATTTTGAACTAAGATTTTATGTTTTGTTGGTCAAAATAGTGTGCAATAAGCTAGAGTGCTTCAATAATGCAATCGTGTGGTGACCAGAGTGGGCTCACCTGTGTTTCCTTTCAGCTGTAAAATCCGAGTTACGTCGGTAGGGAATATTATGGAATATGGATGAATCTGCTGCTCAGTTCAGCCGAGTCACACATATCGTGTCTTGAAGAGCGGCATTAAATCATTTGTACTGGCGACCTTTTTACTGCGTTTGTCACGAATATACGGTGCAACCTGCACATCGAATGCGGCTCTGATGATGCAATCGTCCTGTGATAATGATTTATTGCAGATAATTCCGTCCAGCGTACGTCATTATTGGCTTCTTAGTGGTTTTAAGTCTGATTAGTTTTGCTTGGATCATCATACATTGAATGTACATATGTCACGAGTTGTAAGCTTCCGTTTAATCCGGTGTCATTGTGGCGTGTAGGTTTAGAGGCAGATGCCGGGAATTTCTGAAAAGTCCTTTTCCAGTGAAGTTTATGCGACGTACGATTCGATTACCTATGATAGTGGCAAACGGGTTACAGGCACAAACGCGTAGAATGCTGACCTTTGTAGCGTGAGCAGGCCCTTCTACAGAAACGCTTATTACGCACACGCAACGCAGGCTGCAGTATGAAAAACGCATGCGAGCAGTGAAAGATTACTTTACTAACGAGCAACGCTCCCACAGCCATATCAGTTTTCAGTAACGTTTACGACTGTTTTCGCAGCTCCAAAACGGGCATCTGATCGCCTTGCTTTGGGCTCTAGTTAAAGACTTGAGCCTGTCTGTAAGAAGCTTGGGCTTGAATTGCACGGTGGATGACCACACACGCCTTGGTGCTGTATGTGCAATATGCAGTGTGTGCGCGGTGCCGTGGGGACTGACTAGCACGGCCGACCTGGGCTGCCAGCGCCCTCTTCCGTTACGCACCGCCGAACCGGGGCAGCCGAGAGGTGGCGCTGGGGATTCGTCGAGTCGGTTCCATGACAACTGAACCAGTGACAACCGAACCAGGACAACTGAACCAGTGACAACTGAACCAGGGACAACTGAACCAGTGACAGCTGAACCAGGGACAACTGAACCAGTGACAACTGAACCAGGGACAACTGAACCAGGGACAACTGAACCAGTGACAACTGAACCAGTGACAACTGAACCAGGGACAACTGAACCAGTGACAACTGAACCAGTGGACAACTGAACAAGTGGACAACTGAACCAGTGGACAACTGAACCAGTAGCCAACTGAACCAGTGACAACTGAACCAGTGACAACTGAACCAGTGACAACTGAACCAGGGACAACTGAACCAGTGACAACTGAACCAGTGGACAACTGAACCAGTGGACAACTGAACCAGTAGACAACTGAACCAGTGACAACTGAACCAGTGACAACTGAACCAGTGACAACTGAACCAGTGACAACTGAGCCAGTGACAACTGAACCAGTGGACAACTGAACCAGTGGACAACTGAACCAGTGACAACTGAACCAGTGACAACTGAACCACTAACCAGTAGCCCAGCAAGCAATTTTACTCCGGGCAGCAGGCTGAAGTGCGGCTTGCCCGAGATTTTTATTTATACGTTGCTAACTATTCAGGCGTCCCAGGTGGGCGTAACGGTTACCAAACCAGTTCGCGACCACCAGGCTCTGTCAGCCCTGTCAGCCGTCGTACGGCTCTCGGACGTACACTATAATAGATCGGACACAGATCAATTGGCAGCAGTAGCGGCGGAACACCTTCAATTAAGGCGGGGCACTGTCGACTTTTGGTCCCATTCTTTCCATGCAACGCCCATAGGGCTAATGTTAAAATGCCACAATCAAAGGGGGGCACGGTGCCCCGGTGCCCTCCCCGTTCCGCCGCCTATGATTGGCAGACCGGCAGATTGGCACAGACCGTCCGTCCAGCCACGCGCTACCTTATACCTATACAGCGCAGTACGACATTAGTTGTCCACTGGTTTAGTTGTCCGCTGGTTCAGTTGTCCACTGGTTCAGTCGTCCACTGGTTCAGTTGCCATACTGGTTCAGTTGTCACTGGTTCAGTTGTCCACTGGTTCAGTTGTCACTGGTTCAGTTGTCATACTGGTTCAGTTGTCACTGGTTCAGTTGTCATACTGGTTCAGTTGTCACTGGTTCAGTTGTCACTGGTTCAGTTGTCACTGGCTCAGTTGTCACTGGTTCAGTTGTCACTGGTTCAGTTGTCACTGGTTCAGTTGTCTACTGGTTCAGTTGTCCACTGGTTCAGTTGTCCACTGGTTCAGTTGTCCACTGGTTCAGTTGTCACTGGTTCAGTTGTCCCTGGTTCAGTTGTCACTGGTTCAGTTGTCGCTGGTTCAGTTGTCGCTGGTTCAGTTGTCACTGGTTCAGTTGTCGCTGGTTCAGTTGTCACTGGCTCAGTTGTCACTGGTTCAGTTGTCCCTGGTTCAGTTTTACTGGTTCAGTTGTCCCTGGTTCAGTTGTCACTGGTTCAGTTGTCTGCCTACCGTCGAGTCATGCGACCCTGAAGTGCCAGCCCGGGAACATTTTACAGAAGCGACACCTGCCATATCCCCGACAAGATGCACTCTGTAAAAGACAGACTGTCAATCGCAGGTCATTTTCAACTAAAATCAATGCATAGTCGACCCCTCTTCACCTTTTTGTCCCTTGTTAAGCTGGAGCTCCGGACGAAACGTCAACCAGTAACGTCTGGGGTCAGGTCAAGTCAAAGACGACCGATGTTTTGTCATGACGTTTTGGAAGTAGGCGCTCGCTGCTCGCTGTGGAAGGCTTATTTGCCTTATACGACCTTGCCGGCTCCAATGATTCTCAGATTCTCCGATGATGATGCTCCCTATGTCTCGCTCAGTGTCCTCCTTTCCAAGTTCCTGTTTTCAATTTTCTCATTTTTTGTTGAATGCACGGTCGTTGACGTTTTCAGCCGATTGTCATCAAATTCCTGTGAATTCCTGTCCGGCTGTTGCCCTCAAATCCTTCCACGTCGTCGCTATTTTGTGCACCAACAGCCGGTAGCGGGGTCCGACTGCGGTCATTAATAGCACGCTGGCAGTAGAGTAGCCTCCCAGCTAACAGGAAACGTTTGTACAACGTTGTCACAACGTCGTGTTTCGGTAAGTTGCGAAATTACGTTTTAATTACGTTGTAGCAACGTTCTGAACGTTGTGAAGCCATGGTTTGGTCCGAAAGTTATGGTACAACGTTGTGACAACGCTTTATTGGTACGTTGCAGCAACCGCGCACTTACAACATTATATTTTGATGATGCATGGTGACATATAAGGCCATATATTGCATTTCCTTTGATTTTCAATGCGCATTTTCAGTTTTCATCGTTGAATTGGGCATGCTTTAACACTGGGGCATTTCACGTCAAATCAAACACCGAAATCCGTCACCCCCTTCGATTTTTCTGAAAATTTGTAGGCAGACTGAGCATGGTTCAAAACTGAGTTACGTATAATATTTTCGAAATTTGAGAACGTATCGCTGAGATATAGGTCATCGAATGTAGTGAAAAATGCCACACATCAATTTTTTGAATGGCTATAACTCTGGTTCCTTTTCTGGTATCAAAATGATATTAACAGGGTCTTATAGGCAATTGATAAGGCTTTGATTTTTAATTATAAAATTAAATTGAAGTGACCTTGAAATGCATTTGACCTTGAATTAAAACAGAAAAATTTAAATAGCAAAAAACACGTCACCTTCGATTTGGGTAATTTTTACATATCATGTCCGTCACAATGTTCCTAACCATCTGTGAAAAAATTGGAGTGGGCCATTCATAACTTTCGCGGCAAACGCCGTTTTCATGCATCAACATCACGCAACCGCGCGTGACCTTGAAAGACAGAGTCAAGACATGCTTGCTTGTGTACACTTTCTGAAATGAATGCTTGCTGATTAGTGATATCCCAAACTCTGCGAGAATGGAAATGCATAGTCATCGTAGTCAAGCATTCACGTTCCATAGTAAAAGGGTCTCAGGCAAACGGTATTTTGCGGTGAATTTTGAGCCGTGTGGAAATGCATCATGAAGTAAATTCAACGAAAACATTATCACGCAACGATATCTTCACGTCTTTTGATCTTCACTATACGAAAGAACATACATTTTTTAGTATGTATGGGGAATTTCTAGTTAATCCAATAATAAATATGGCAGTTAGAGGCCTGCTAAGAGTAACATGTCGCCGGCTGAGGCGGGCTCGGCCGATGCGGGAAACGCAGCAATCACAATTTTGTGTTTACACGTTCATATTTCAATTGTTTACCAACCCATTTTCAAAATTCTTTCACCATAAGATTGCCTGTACATTTCTTAGTCTTCTCACAAAATTTGACGCGAATCGAACGTAATCAGCGGTGGAGCGCGATGTAAAGACGGAACCGTTCCGTTCCGTTCCGGCACAGTCTACAATTCAGGCGGCGCGTAGCGGTCGGCGCCGGCTGCCGAGTCGCCGCGTCGCTGCGGCGACAGGATGTTCACTTTACACCGCTATTACTAGAACAGTTGTGAACCGATTTTCATATTGCTTGCACGATGAGATGTCCAATTCAATTCTTGACAGGTAGCCATAATTAATTTCACATTAATCTTATGAGATATTGGCGAAAAACAGGAGGGGTGGGCGACATTCGCTCTTCCCCCTCCACTGCGCGTGCTAACATACGTTTGCATATGTGCAATTTTCTTCAAAACTTATGAATGGCCCACTCTAATTTTTTCACAGGTTGTTAAGAATATGGTAGGCAATAAAATATATGAAAATGAGCCAAATCGAAGGTGACGTGTTTTTTGCTGTTTCAATATTTGTGCTTAAGAACAGAGTTAAGCAAATTTCAAGGTCATATATTTAAGTAGGTGCAATTCTAAACAAATGCTTAAGAAATTACCTAAACAGTAAGGTTTATTTCATTCAAATCAAACAAGTACAACCAAAGTTATGGTCGTTCAAAAATATAAAGATGCAACATTTTGTAAAAATTTGATGCCCTATATTTAGAAGACCTGTGGTCAGAATGTGCAAAAAAACATCAATGTAATGTCCGGGGCCACACAGGAACTCGCTCACAAATTTATAATGAAATCACTGATGGTAAGGTGCAAAACAGCCGATATTTGTTTGATTTGACGTGGAATGCCCCCACTAGGACTGTTCACGTTGTCAGCTGGTGGTCGCCAACACGTTGTTAAAACGGTTTTTCACAACCTTGTCGGTATAGGTACTGAAT